GCAATTTAAAGTTTAGAACCACTGGTCAAAGATGGCTCAAACGAACGGCCTTGAACTATGTGCAGAGTTCGCGTGTTTTTAAGCTATATTGCAGATTGCTACAGGGAGAGGGAGAGGAAGAGGAGGAGGCACAAATAGAGAGAGAGAGAGAGAGAGAGAGAGAGAGAGAGAGAGAGAGAGAGACTGCGAGTTGGTGAGAGAACGATCAAAGGGAGGAGAGAGAGGGATGAAACTGAAGAAGACAGAAAGGGAAAAGAGAGAAAGGGAAGACAGAGAAAGGGGGTGACAGACGGGGCTACCAATACTGGGTTCCCCCCTCCCCCAGATCTGGGTTTTATGACGCCTTGGGAAAAATCTTTTTTTTTTAAATATATCCTTATATAAAAGTGGTAAATGTTTCCTTTCGTAACTATAAATTGTACACATTCTAACAGTATGGGTTTAAAAAAAAAAGATTTTTGTGGTGTTCTTTGCTTATGTATTGCTTGGGTTTTTGTTCAGCTTAGCTGGGTTTTTCACACAAAAATCCTATTGGCAGCCCTGGCGGTGAGAAGTAATTCTTTCCGAATGGCACCTGGGAAAGTTTATACCACATGTTAATCACTTGTTTACTACTCACTTGTTTACTACTAGTGTCCCCGAGGAGCTAGCACCTTTCCTAGTGAGGGTCCGGGGCACAAGTCGTTCGTAAGCATCGACTAAATCAGGATTTTGCTTCGGTCGGAGTGCATCTTTTCATTGAACTCTCGGATTCCCCGGAATGGGTGAATTAAAATGATAGTACTCCAACGCGTCCTTTGCAGCAAATATTAATAGTTTATATTCTTTGCGTTCACCAGTTGTAAACTTCAGAGCAAAGGTCTGGTTGTTCGTCCACTTGTGGACTTCAGTCTCGTTAACTGCCTCTCAGACAGTCGGTCCCACTTTCCGGGCAACTACTTCAGTCCAGTTGCCGGACTACTACTTCAGTCCAGTTGCCGGGCAACTACTTCAGTCCAGTTGCCGGACAACTACTTCAGTCCAGTTGCCGGACAACTACTTCAGTCCAGTTGCCGGGCAACTATTTCAGTCCAGTTGCCGGGACAGCAGGTTACAGCTTGGCTTGCTTTGCTCCAAACAAAAACCCCCAAAAATTGTCACGTTCAACCAGCATCGCCAAAGAGGAAGCGTTAGGTTATATTTGTGACACTAGATTGCGTGCACCATAGAAAATTGCTTTACCCTGCACGCCTCTAAGAACCATGAAAAGGACTCCTGCTGTGTTGATGGGATTAAAGACTAAAATACCGGCCCGACCGGCGACGAAGTCTCTACCGGCGAGCCAATGAGCGACCCGGTCGCCGATGATGATGATGATGGTGTTTCAGGTCTTGTAAGGTATAGTTGACCAACCACTGCTGGCTGACTGACACATGGGCGCTATACCAGACAGTGCAAGAGGTCAAAAGTTCAGTCCCTGGATCCAGGCGTGACCTCGGCTACACGTTCAAACAGCGGGAAACAACAGAACATAAGCAACACACCACCTGGCGATGACACGCAACACACCACCTAGCGATGACACGCAACACACCACCTGGCGATGACACGCAACACACCCGGCGATGACACGCAACACACCACCCGGCGATGACACGCAACACACCACCCGGCGATGACACGCAACACACCACCCGGCGATGACACGCAACACACCACCCGGCGATGACACGCAACACACCACCCGGCGATGACACGCAACACACCACCCGGCGATGACACGCAACACACCACCCGGCGATGACACGCAACACACCACCCGGCGATGACACGCAACACACCACCGGCGATGACATGCAACACACCACCCGGCGATGACATGCAACACACCACCCGGCGATGACACACAACACACACCGGTACCAGTGATTCTTACGCTGGGCAACATATCCACATGGATGATTCTGAAACGGTGCAAGACAACACCGACTGCTGGCACACAACAGTACCAGTGATTCTCAAGGCTAGGCAACACAACATCGCGCTGTGGCACACACCCGATTGATGGATCAGTTTGTCCGCTCTGGGCATTTTAATTTTAATTCGCCCTAAACAACGGAAATCATAGAGTTCTCGGGGAAAGTACAATATTGTAGTGGTGAATTAAAATTGAAGACCCAATTTAAGGTTTACCAGTTCATTCAGAGATCACAAATCTCAATCTGGATGATAAGCTAACAAGACAGATCCAAGATACCCCAGCCGGTTCAACCTCCAAAGAAGGTATAATTAGGGCCCTGGTAATCTTAGTTTCAGCTTCATAGCAAACGGGTCACCCCATAGTTGCTCTGCTCCTGTGCCAACCAAAAATACATAATGTTTATCACAGTCCCTTGTGGAAAGACTGACAGACTGCTGTCTCAGCATGTCTAGCATACACACATATTAAAAGCATACAGTAGCCATCCAAAGTGCTAACACAAACAGTCCGACATTAGAAATGCAGTTTATCATGGATGGTAGCAGAAGTCACCAACAGATCAGCAGTTGCACACGCAATCAATTTTAATCACATAATGGCACCACCAATATTGCGACAACAGGAATAGCGCCATTTTCTGAATCTACAATTCACACCACCACGTTGGTCAAGTCGAAAAACATTCCAAATGAAATGGCAGCTCACAGTGTCACGCCATGCACTGAACTCATAAGTGGGGGACGAAAGTATATCCTTTCAGTGTATAAATGGAGCAAAAATGCAACGGCCACCATCTTGCAGAAGCAAAAGATTTGCCACAGCTCAAAACAGTGGCCGCGCCTAGCGTCCATTTTGACCAGAAGTTATCAGTTACACCAGTCAGGTGTGACCTGGAGTCCTATGCCAGCAAGGGACATATGTGCAGCTGCATAAGTGATTCTCAATATATCTGGACTCCCACTGCTGCTATGGACTTTGTGCAGTGTGCCAAAACTGTCCTTGTTTGTTTACAGGCTGTAAGCTCCAGCGGAAAGTCCTGGCTGTTTTTCTATCAGGACTTTGGCTTTGTTCTAGGGCCTGAGTTCTGCATGTGCATCCGTTTTACTGGCTTGTGTGTGCAGTTGGTTGTTCCTTGACACTGGGGCAGACAAACTCTGACTACGAAGGAAGCTCCGAGTTAGTCGACTCCTACCACATGCTTTTTGGGGAGGCAGGGGTCTATTCTTGTTTCCCCCCACAATGGGGCCCCGGGACCCACACAATCTGTGAAAAACATTCTGTGTGTTTTTAGTTGGCACAGGAGCGTAGCAAAGATGGGGCGACCCGTTTGCTAGGAAGCTGAAACTAAGACTACCAGACTACCAGACCAGATCCCACACAGGGAGTGAGTATAGCATAGGTGATCATTTAAAAACTAAATCAAACAAACTATTTCAGTCACATGCAGTTGTTTGTGTGGGTTTCAGGGCTCCATGTGGGGGTGGGGGGATGCAAGAGAAGGATATACATATGGCTGCTTCACTAGCATTTCTATCAGCTAAAGTTACAAAGTTAAAGTTGAGGGGAATGACTTCATCGCACCGGGTTTTTAACCATACATGGCTCAATCTCTCTCCACAGAGACATTTAATCACTTCACAGGAAGAAACATCAGACAAACATTCCTCTATTACTTCACAGAAAGATACTTAAGAGAAACTACCCTTTATCATTTAACAGGAAGACATTTCACAGAAACATCCCTCCATCACATCATGAACAAGATACATCAGAGAAACATCCCTCTATCACTTCACAGAAAGTTACTTTAGAGAAACATCCCTTTATTACTTCACAGGAAGACACATCAGACAAACATCCCTCTACCACTTCACAGGAAGACATATCACAGAAACATAGCTCTATCATTTCACAGAAAGCTACCTTAGAGAAACATCTCTTTATCACTTAACAGGAAGACATATCACAGAAACATCCCTCTATCACTTCACATAAAGATACTTTAGAGAAACATCCCTTTATCACTTAGCAGGAAGACATTTCACAGAAACATCTCATTATCACTTCATGAACATGACACATCAGACAAACATCCCTCTATCACTTCACAGAAAGATACTTTAGAGAAACATCCCTTTATCACTTCACAGGAAGACATATCAGAGAAACATCCCTTTATCACTTAGCAGGAAGACATTTCACAGAAACATCTCATTATCACTTCATGAACAAGACACATCAGACAAACATCCCTCTATCACTTCACAGAAAGATACTTTAGAGAAACATCCCTTTATCACTTCACAGGAAGACATATCAGAGAAACATCCCTTTATCACTTAACAGGAAGACATATCACAGAAACATCTCATTATCACTTCATGAACAAGACACATCAGACAAACATCCCTCTATCATTTCACAGAAAGATACTTTAGAGAAACATCAATTTATCACTTCACAGGAAGACATATCAGAGAAACATCCCTTTATCACTTCACAGGAAGACATATCATAGAAACATCTCTCTATCACTTCATGGCGAAAGACACATTAGAGAAACATCCCTCTATCACTTCACAGGAAGACACATCAGAGAAACATCTCTCTATCACTTCATGAACAAGACACATCAGAGAAACATCCCTCTATCACTTCATGATAAAGATACATTAGAGAAACATCCCTCTATCACTTTATGATGAAGATACATCAGAGAAACATCCCTTTATCACTTCATGATAAAGATACATCAGAGAAACATCCCTCTATCACTTCATGATGAAGATAAATCACAGAAATATCTCTCTATCACTTTATGATGAAGATACATCAGAGAAATATCTCTATCACTTCACAGTAAAACATTCTAGAGACACATCCGTCTATTGCTTCACACTGGAGACATATCAGAAAATCATCCCATTATGACTTCACACCACCAATTCTATTCTTCAAGTCAATCCAGATTCAACAAGTAAAATGTGTCATGCAAAAACACAGAAAAGACGAAAATGGTGACAGAGACAGAGAGACTCACCAGGCTTCCAGCAAGGATGAGAGTGCAGCTCACTCTGTGCATCATACCAGATGAGTTGTCGGCAGCCATCGTAGGCCATCGAATACTCATCGTCCCCAATACCACAGCCATCCTGAAGATCACAGAAGCAAGCGGAGATTATACATTCATGACTGATCAGAGAATAGTGCGGAAAAAACTACAGGTTTCACAACAGTTCTCTTAATGCTCAGTATTCGATGGTTTGGGTGGCTGAGACGCACTTTGAGAATGCAGGATGGCAGAGTCCCTAAGAAGATCCTCTACTGCGAATTACAGACAGGTAGAAGATATCAATGGACACCAACCTAACAAGAATGCCCTGGTACTATCTACCACAGCCAGCCACACTGAAATGTGACAATGGTTATAGAGCGAGCGAAACACCTCGGAAATATGGAGTGATAGCATTAAGAACAGCCTTACAGAAATGAACATCAATCTTAAAAGTGCTCTTGACAGAGCTCATTAACAAATGTTACCTTTCCACCGAACACTTCACTGAGGTATAAAGTGGAAGAACATAGGAAGAAGAAGAAGTTATCAAAGCCGGCCTCTACTACGATATAAAGATGTACTCAAGCAAGACAACAATGATACAGGTATTGAGGCAGATTCATAGGAACAAATGTCAAGGACCATGTTGCATGAAGTAGGGAAATCAGAAAGGGAGTAGAAAGAAAGGGAAAAAAAAAAAACTGATTTCAACAACACAAGAGAGCCCAGTGTCTGAGAACAAGTGCACTAAATATATATATGATGGCAACGATGGTGCTGAAATGCCATGCTCTAATTGTGGAAGACTTTTCCTAACGCAGGCGGGTTTTGCTAACCACACTCACCATCACCATGGGCTGTGAGTTCATCCATCCCCAGACAATAACACTCTTCTTTTCTCTACTCCTGAAATACCTCACAACTTCAGGACAGGAAGAGATCTCTGGAATGGTCTTTCTGTTCACTTCGTATAAAGTATTTTTCAGTGTCTCTGATATTTCTGCAGTCCATCTTCTGCATGGTCGACCTCCGGTTCTGTTACTGTTGTATCTGTTAAACACTGTTTCATCTGATGCTAATCGTGTTACGTGGCCAAACCATTTGATTTGTTGTCTACCTATAAAATTCAGTATTGCTTCTGTGCCGACTCTCCTCCTGATACCATCATCCCTAATTCGATCTTTCCTCATTACCCCTGGCAAAGTATGTAAACATTTCATGTTTGTCGTGGCTATTTTCCTTCTGTCTCCTGAATACTGTCCATGTTTGACATTGATAGCATAGCATTGGAAAGAATATAACACTATCTTCTGAAAAGATGGAGAAGTGTCACCAACATGTAAAACATTATTTATTTATATCCAAAGGTGCCCTACATTTGACCAATAAGGTGCCCTGATCACAGTGAAGGTCGTCAGCAATAGATATCCAACATTCTCACTCTCATACTGGACGTACTCATCTCTCTCTCCGACTGTTGTTGTTCCATCTCTTGATATTGTCTTATCATGTGTATTACTGTATGCTTATTTCTTCTACTCTTCCCTCCAGAATAGTCTTTTAATAATGGCAAAAATATTTCAGTTTTCTCTTTTCATTTCTCTCAACAACTCCACAAAGACATTCTAGTTATATTGTTCTCAGGTTTTTCTCAATGTATGTTCTATCCAACGCCAGCATCTATTCTTCACCTCTTGGTACACTGGAACCTGTTTAGTTCTCTCCGAAAGCTCTACATTAGTGATTCTATCATACCATTTAATTCTCTGTATTCTCCACAGGCACCAGTTAAAGAATGTTTGTAGTTTTTTAGTAACTGCCTTAGTTGTTCTCCATGTTTCTGTTCCAAATAACAGTGCTGTTTGACATTTGAATAAAAAATGTTTAAGCTTAGTTTTAGTTTGCATTTCTTTTGATCTCCATAAATGTCCTAGTGTTATGTATGAAAGCTCCTCTCGCCAGATAGACTGCTAGCATAAAAAGTGCATTTTACCTTTTTTTTTTAACTGCAAAATTATTCCAGTTATGTCGGCGTCTGTATCTTAGGCAACGCGAACGTGCTTCGTAATGCCGGGGTGCCGGGTTAGATCCCAGCTGCAGGCCTTGCACCTTGTGTTGGTTTCAACAATGGTATCGTGGCGCGGTGATTAATGTCACAGGCGTGAGGGAAAAGTTAAGTCCAACATGATGTGTATAAGGAAATACTCCGTACGTCACTCGGGCGCCAGTCGTTCACTATCCTGGTTGTACGGAACCTCACGCAAGACCCCTGCAGCACGTCCTCGTCGTGCGCCACGGATAATGTCTCAAATGAGTATTAACAGAGCTGTCAGGGGATCTCGGAGTTTGACGGCCCCCAGAGGTGATGTGTCCTTGTGGCTCTCATCAGCCCGCCTCCAAACGCTTGGGTGAAAAAGGTTATCAAAACTCATTAGGAACATGAGTATGTTTGCCAAACGCACAGCTAAAATTACAACCCTTGGTTAAAAGATTGCTGAGTGAAGAGAACATTGTTCACTGTACATCTTCTGTTAACCCTCAGTGTCGTCGTCACCGCGCTGAGGTACACCACAACATCAACCATTCATAGGCTGGCCATCCATGTACATCCTCGGTTAACCCTCAGTGTCGTCGTCACCGCGCTGAGGTACACCACAACAGCAACCATCCATAGGCTTGCCATCCATGTACATCTTTGGTTAACCCTCTGTGTCGTCGTCACCGCGCTGAGGTATGCCAAGACAGCAACCATCCATCAGATGGCTAAGCCTAAATGTCCGACAAAATTAGTACGGCACACGAGCAAGCTCAAAATCTGACCATCACAATCTGTATTGAACGGAAAAAGACCAAATGTCCACACCCATAGACTCCACTCGCCCGAGTGTTGGGACCAAACTGATAACGATATGCCTGACGCAGGATGTAAAATTCTGTCGGGCTAACGGCTCGTCAAAGAAATCTAACGTGCGAAGAAGAAAAAAAAAAAGAATGTACCTATTCGTGTGGTCACAAAAGTCCAAAACCCACGGGCTGCTCCCCGCTGACTTCCAGAGGGCGCAGCCCTTGTCGAGCGGGAGGCCTGATACGGTTGTGAGGTTAAGCAGGCATGTGCAGGATGTGACGATTCCTTGGGTGAGCCCAGAACCAGAGCGCCATGTGCCGGCTCTGCATATATGGAAGCCTCCTTGGATGGCGGGGAATGCCCATGATCTGCCCCTGCCTTCCCTTGAGGGCTAACCGTTCCACAGGGGGTTGCTCCAAAGGGGTACTCCGGGGGCTCCTGCGGAGAAGGAGACAAAGTGGACACCACACAAATCAGGCAACGTCTCGACCCACACAAAACAATGGCCACTGTCATCCTAGAAATAGGCATTACGTCCTCCTTTGAAGTCGGAGTACAGCTGCCCATGAGGCAGGGAACAGAAAAACGGTTGTACACGCAAAAATCAGGTCCAGGTGAAAGCCAAAAGTCCAAGCGGACGATTAACCAGGACCTTCCGCCGGAATTCACAGCCGCTGATCGATAAAAAAAATTTTTTTTTAAATAAAAAAAAATACAAAACAATGGTATCGAGAAGTCGATTGTCCAGAAAGCAAAGGCAAACTACTTGATGTAAATGTGCCTAGAAAAACCACAATAGCCAAAAAAAAAAAAAATGCTGGGGTTGGTTTTGCAATGTCCTGTGAAGGACATGCAATTTTCACTTCTAATTACACATTCCACAAAAATAACTACTCACATGATTGAGGAATTTACTATCTTTGGTAGCCCAGCCGATCTGCATGACTCCATCTGTGACGATCATCACCTCGTAATACCAAACTCCACAGTCCACCTGAAATGTGCACCGCACACTCTCAAAGGATGACGCGTCACAGCGAGCCTGGGGTCACATTGGAGAAAATAAACAGTAAACAATCAATGTGTGATGAGTAGAAGAAGCAAGAAACAAAAATAATTAAGATACAATGAGCTCTGAGCTACTGAAGTGATTGGACAATCCTTGAAAATTTGTTGCAGATCTTTTGCAGGCTACAAGTCAACTTCAGCCTCTGTTGACTGTGTGTGAATTTTCAAGGCAATTTTAAGTTCTGTAGTTTGCCAATGCTTACTGAGCGGTCAGCTCTCAATACCACTGACAAAATAACTGTAAAAGCAGTCTGCTGCCTAGTCACCTGCAGCTGTACTGAACTAGGTATTTTGGAAAAAACCTTATTCCTAACCTTCAAGACACAGTCTTTTAGGCAAGACACAGACAGTCCTCTAGGCCTGACACAGACAGTTTTTTAGGCAAGACACAGACAGTCCTCTAGGCATGACACAGACAGTTTTTTAGGCAAGACACAGACAGTCCTCTAGACATGACACAGATAGTCTTCTAGGCATGACACAGACAGTCCTCTAGACATGACACAGACAGTCCTCTAGGCATGACACAGACAGTCCTCTAGACAAGACACAGACAGTCCTCTAGACATGACACAGACAGTCCTCTAGGCATGACACAGACAGTCCTCTAGACAAGACACAGACAGTCCTCTAGACAAGACACAGATAGTCCTCTAGACAAGACACAGACAGTCCTCTAGACAAGACACAGACAGTCCTCTAGACAAGACACAGACAGTCCTCTAGACAAGACACAGACAGTCCTCTAGGTAAGACACAGACAGTCCTCTAGACAAGACACAGACAGTCCTCTAGACAAGACACAGACAGTCCTCTAGACAAGACACAGACATTCCTCTAGGCAAGACACAGACAGTCCTCTAGACATGACACAGACAGTCCTCTAGACAAGACACAGACAGTCCTCTAGGTAAGACACAGACAGTCCTCTAGACAAGACACAGATAGTCCTCTAGACAAGACACAGACAGTCCTCTAGACAAGACACAGACAGTCCTCTAGACAAGACACAGACAGTCCTCTAGACAAGACACAGACAGTCCTCTAGGTAAGACACAGACAGTCCTCTAGACAAGACACAGACAGTCCTCTAGACAAGACACAGACAGTCCTCTAGACAAGACACAGACATTCCTCTAGGCAAGACACAGACAGTCCTCTAGACAAGACACAGACAGTCCTCTAGACAAGAAAGACAGTCCTCTAGGCAAGACATAGACAGTCCTCTTGACAAGACAATCCTCTAGACAAGTCACAGACAGCCCTCTAGACAAGACACAGACAATCCTCTAGACAAGACACAGACAGTCCTCTAGACAAGACACAGACAGTCCTCTAGACAAGACAGACAGTCCTCTAGGCAAGACATAGACAGTCCTCTTGACAAGACACAGACAGTCCTCTAGACAAGACACAGACAATCCTCTAGACAAGACACAGACAATCCTCTAGGCAAGACACAGACAGTCCTCTAGGCAAGACACAGGCAGTCCTTTCAGACTGTTTTCCTGCCTGGCCACGCTATGGGCCTAGCAAGCGGGTAGTGGTGTAATCGACCGCTATTACACAAGAAATATTGAATTATAGGAGTTGGAATAAGACTACGTCTGGATTATATGGACAGACAAAGAATGAAATCTGGTGAGAATGCAGCCAGACCAAACTGCACAGACAACTTTGTACAGCAGAACAGTTTGGAGGAAGGCAAGGGGAAGACCAAGAAAGAGATGGATAAATGGTGTAGCTGAAACCTGAAAACAGATGAACAAATCCATCACTCATGGCAACCAAGAAGTGCAAGACAAATACAGGTCACTGGGCTACAACCTGGCTTCAGTGAGACAACAAAAGAAGAAGTAGAAGAAGTATGGGCTGTACAAGGGAAATTCTTGCAGGACATGTTCTGCAGTTTGCAAAGAACAGCCCAAATGGGCACAATGGTGAACTACTTAGACAAAGCCTGTGCATATGTTTATTTACTAATAATTAACTACTAACACAATTTATTTTTGTAGCAGCATTCTAATATTATATTGCTCAACAATCCCTGGCCACCTTGATGTATAATATGTGTATGTTGCACAGAAGTTGAATTTGTATGGTCTGTTTTAATGTGTTACACTTGCGACATTTCAAAATTACAGTACCACCCCCTGGGCCACTGATGCTAAACCCCACCCTTGAGACTTCAAAGAGTTAAAGACAAAATCACAAACTAAAAGATAAAATCACTTAAAGGGGGATAATATGACATACTAGAAAAAAAAAATCACATACTTAAAGTAAAAACCATATTAAAAGGAAAAGAATCATGTACTAAAAGAAAACAATCACAGAGTATTCAAGTACGCTTTTTCTCAAAGTATGTGATCAGCATTGTCTTCCTGATCAGACTCAGTTCCTTTCTTAGCAAGTTTATCTACAGTTTTGTTTTCTTTTTCTTCTTCTTCTTCGCGTTCACCAGCTGTAAACTCTGACGGAAAGTTCTGGTTGTTCGTCCACTTCTGAACTGCAGTCCTGCTCCAGAACCTGAGTGTTGCGTGTGCATCAGTTTTACAGATCTGATTCACTTGAATGCAGACTGTTGGTTCCTTGCCCCTCAGGCAGATGCACTCCGACTTCAAAGGAAACTCCCCAATTAGTCGACTCTTACGACATGCTTTTGGGTAGGCAGTGGGTCTATTCTTGTTTTTCCCATAATGGGGCCCCGGAACCCACACGGGGAAGTTTTGCTTTCTGATAACCACAGTGGGATGGCACCCAATGGAGTATAGTGCACTTTTGGGCAGCCACTTTGTAAGTTCAGATCTCAGATAAGGGAGATTACCACTCTAGAGGGATTAGAGCACTCATAGCTCAACTTGGTGGCAGTCAGAACTGGTGTTGAGTAACATTTAAAAAATCAAAGAACACAATTTTAGAAAGATAAATAACAAATGGCTGAAACATCTGGCTCACCTCCAAGCCGTCTGCAGATATTTTGAGATATTCGCTGACATCATTATTATTTAAAATGACATTCAGATCAGACCGGTCTAGCTGCTCGTACGAGAAGGGACGGCCCTGCAAAACACAGCTCAAACATTAATGCATTCAAATACGAGTTCATAAATAACAAGAAACCAAGTGGAAGTCATTCAAATACAAGTTCATAAATAACAAGAAACCAAGTGGAAGTCATTCAAAAACTAGTTCATAAACAAGAAACCAAGTGGAAGTCTAATAGTCAATAGTGGACTGTGAGAGACGTTTCTTCTTATTCTTGAATGACCCTCTCACAAGAGTGGATGGCACACTGTCATTTGGTTTACAGCTAGGCTGTGATATCTAACCCTTTGCAGCAAACCCCAAGTAAGTCAGCTTTCACGACATGCTGGTCAGAGAGAGAGCCAGGGAAGCAGCAAGTGCCTCCTCAAACAGGGCCCCAGAACCCACATGGTGAGAAGGAGGCATTTGTGGCCTTCCCGCTTGTTCTTCTTTCTGGAGTTGTTCTAACTGTCTGTTGTCAGTTCATGTTTGTGAAGGCTTGACCTTTCTTCTTTCTGGAGTTGTTCTAAATGTCTGTTGTCAGTTCATGTTTGTGAAGGCTTGACCTTTCTTCTTTCTGGAGTTGTTCTAAATGTCTGTTGTCAGTTCATGTTTGTGAAGGCTTGACCTTTCTTCTTTCTGGAGTTGTTCTAAATGTCTGTTGTCAGTTCATGTTTGTGAAGGCTTGACCTTTCTTCTTTCTGGAGTTGTTCTAAATGTCTGTTGTCAGTTCATGTTTGTGAAGGCTTGACCTTTCTTCTTTCTGGAGTTGTTCTAAATGTCTGTTGTCAGTTCATGTTTGTGAAGGCTTAACCTTTCTTCTTTCTGGAGTTGTTCTAAATGTCTGTTGTCAGTTCATGTTTGTGAAGGCTTGACCTTTCTTCTTCTTTGTTTTCACCAGATGTAAACTCTGGCAGAAAATCCTGGTTATGCATCCACTTGTGGTCTTCGGCCGTGTACTGTTACAACTCAACTGTTGTGTACACATCCATTAATCCTGGTTGTGCATCCACTTGTGGTCTTCGGCCGTGTACTGTTACAACTCAACTGTTGTGTACACATCCATTAATCCTGGTTGTGCATCCACTTGTGGTCTTTGGCCGTGTACTGTTGTAACTCAACTGTTGTGTACACATCCATTAATCCTGTTTGTGCATCCACTTGTGGTCTTCGGCCGTGTACTGTTGTAACTCAACTGTTGTGTACACATTCATTAATCCTGCCGTCCTTTTTAGAATGCAATTTTTCGTTATTTGAAGCCCTACGCTGGTTCAAGCCAGGGGATGCAATATAGCCTGGTCACGAGTATGGCCTAATGGCTGAACGTAGTTTCTGGGACCTCTCCACGGTGTTCCTCATCCACATGATGGCACATTGTGTCATCGGGTGTTTATCGCTTGTGTGATGTCCTGGTGGGGTAGAAAGTCAGTCAGTCAGTACACATCCATTATACAGATCTGGCTTATCTGTGTGCAGACTGTTTGTTCGACATCTCTCAGGCAGATGAATTCTGTCTTCAGAGGAATGTAGAGTCTACCTTTGTTTCTAGGAAGACCAAACAGAGGTGTAGACACGTTTTGCCAAGTTTCAGCAATGGTCCTGCAGTATCATGTGTGGATCTGTAAAACAGATGCACACACAACACTCAGATTCTGGAACAAGACTACAGTCCAGAAGTGAATGAACAGACAGAAGGTTCACGAGTGCAAAAAAGAAGAAGGTTCATTTCACCAACGAGGATGGACACTTGATTATGAAGAAGAGTAACCACCACACCTTACAGCAAGATATATGATGCTGAGTCCTAACTGACACGCATACAGGTGTACGTAAGGTACATAACTGACATGCACACAGGTGTACGTAAGGTACATAACTGACATGCACACAGGTGTATGTGAGATACACAAGTGACATGCACACAGGTGTACGTAAGGTACACAACTGACACCCATACAGGTGTATGTAAGGTACATAACTGACATGCACACAGGTGTATGTAAGGTACATAACTGACATGCATACAGGTGTACGTAAGGTACACAACTGACATGCACACAGGTGTATGTAAGGTACATAACATCCACAAATTCATTTTTAACTATAGAGACTTCTTTTCCTGCCCTGTATCCCTCACTGCAGCAAAAGCCTTCAACCAAGTGAATCCAAGTGTTACCCACTGCTATGGCTAGTGTCCCACCCCATATCCAAGTGTTACCCACTGCTATGGCTAGTGTCCCACCCTATATCCAAGTGTTACCCACTGCTATGGCTAGTGTCCCACCCCATATCCAAGTGTTACCCACTGCTTTAGCTAGTGTCCAACCCTATATCCAAGTGTTACCCACTGCTATGGCTAGTGTCCCACCTATACCCAAGTGTTACCCACTGCTATGGCTAGTGTCCCACCCTATATCCAAGTGTTACCCACTGCTATGGCTAGTGTCCCACCCCATATCCAAGTGTTACCCACTGCTATGGCTAGTGTCCCCCCTATATCCAAGTGTTACCCACTGCTATGGCTAGTGTCCCACCCTATATCCAAGTGTTACCCACTGCTATGGCTAGTGTCCCACCACATATCTGTCTAACTCCACTCTAGTTCCCTTCTCCAAATATTTTCTGCTCTGCTTTTATTCCTTTCACGTGGCGCGGTGATTTCAGTCACAGGCATGAGGGGAAGTTAAGTCTGATGTGATGTGTATAAGGAGATACTCTGTACCCCACTCGGCGCAAGTCCATCACTGTTCTGGTTTTACGGAACCTCATGCAAGACTCCTGTTGCACGTCCCCGTCGTGCGCCACGGATAATGTCTCAAATGAGCATTAACAGAGTTGGCAGGGGATCTCGGAGCTGGCGGCCCCTAGAGGTGTAGAGTCCTTTCTGGCTCTCACCAGCCCGCCCCCAAATGCATGGGTGAAAAGTAACAAAACTCAAGGATTGCTTGCTAAATGCACCATCAAATGACAACTCTTGGTTAAAATTCGGGAGCGAATGGAAAACTGCTGCTGAGACTCAACCCTGACCGAGAGATTTACCCGCAGCCAAGACGAGTAACATCTCTTGTGGGCGACTTCTCGCAGCAAGATCCTACCTACGTACATCCTCTGTCAATCCTCAGTGTCGTCGTCACCGCGCTGAGGTACACCATGGCAGCAACTGTTCATATGCTGGCTTGAAAACAATGTCCGACAAAGTTACACCCCACGGCACACATGAAAGCTCAAAGTCCGACGATCATAACTCGTACCGATTAGGAAAAGTCTGAATGTCCGTATCCACTGGCCCAACCCGCCCAAGTGTTGGGACCAAACAGGTGCAGCCACGCCTGACGCACTTTGCTTCCCCATTCTGTCATGCTACAGGCACAGCTGAAACAACGTTAAAGGTGTCTAACGTAAGATGAAAAAGAATGTACCTATTTGTGTGGCCACAAAAGTCCTGGATCTGCAGGCTGCCCCCCGCTGATCTCCGGAGAGCGCAGCCTTGTAGCGCGGGAAGCTCAATACACGGTTGTGAGGTTAAGCGGTCATGGGCAGGACGTGACGATTCCTTGGGTGAGCCTAGAACCAGGGCATCATGTGTCGGCTCTGCATTTATGGAAGCCTCCTTGGATGGCGGGGAATGACGACATGCCGGGGGCCACACCTGCTAAAAGTCAAAGAGGACACCACACAAATAAGGCAACATCTCGACCCACACAAAACAATGGCCACAGTCAACCTAGAAATAGGCTTGACGTCTTCCTCCGAAGTCGGAGTACATCTGCCGGAGAGGCGGGGAACGAGTACTGCAAACAAATAAGCCAGTAAAACGGATGTACACGCAAAACTCAGGTCAAGGTAAAAGCCAAAAGTCCATTTTGGACGAACAACCGTGACTTACCGCCGGAATTCACAGCCGGTGAACAAGAAGAAGAAGAAAGAATTCCTTTCACACCATACAAAAGACATTTGAGTTATCTGTTGCCACTTACCTCTTTTAAAACTGTTCCAGTTTCAAGGCCAGCATGGAACAAAAAGGAAAATAAAGACATGTGTGTGAATTTCCATAAACTTTAGTAGAATGTGTGACAGATTATTAGGACATAACAGCAAAGATGGAATTTAAAATACAAACTCACATTGATCCTCAGGGTATAGAACCGAAAAACCCAACTTTAACCACAAACACTCGCATAGATCCTGAAGTCATACACCCCAACTTTACCTTCTTCTTCTTCTTCTTCTTCTTCTTCACTTCCTCTTTTACCGCTGTGTCGAGGGAGATATAAGGTTCTGTTTCTAGCTCTTCTGGCTGCCTCGCCCATAGGCACATCGTGCTGTTGTAGAGTTTCTCTGATGTTATCCTTCCATCTTGTTCTTGGTCTACCCCGTGCTCTACGTCCTTCTTCTCTTTCCATGTATGCTTTGTATGGTATGGTGTCACAAGGCATTCTCTCTAATTGGCAAACGATTTCACTTGCTGTCTTTGTATTTAATCCAGAATTGGTTCTGTGCCGACTTGTTCTCTTATGATCTCATTCCTGATCTTTTCTCTTATGGTCACTCCTACAGCCCTTCTCAGACATCTCATTTCCGTGGTTACTAATTTTCTTTTATGGTTTGTTGTGAGTGACCATGTCTGGCACTGGTAGCACAGAGTTGGAATAAATATGCTTTGAATAAGATGTCTCTTTGTGCTGATTGAGATTGTCTTATGCTGTAAGAGGGGGGCTAGCTGTCCCAATACTTGGTTTGCTTTACTGCATCTAATGTCAATTTCTTTATCCAATTTCCCATCTTCGGTAAATGTAGTTCCCAGATATTTAAACTCAGATGCCTGTTTAATGCCTTTGTATTCTATTGCTATGTTTAGATCTGTCTTCTTTTTTCCTATTGACATTACTTCTGTCTTTTCAGACAGACAGACTTACTCAATTGTACTATCAAGGCATACAGCAAAAGATACTCAAACTGGGAGCCGCTCATCTGAGCCTCCAGCGTCTGCCAGAACCTCTCGTCACTCCCCGCTGCATCACTCTCACCAGACTGTGGTGATCCATGTCCTCCTCTGAACAGTACACGCTCTACCACAAGGCACTAACCATGTCTGCCTTATCATGCCTCTGTATTCTACCAAGTTTTGCAGAGCCAGCCAGTCTGTCCGCCTGTTCATTTCTTAATACACCGGCGTTTCCTGGTAAAAAAAATCCAGACAATACTCCTCACCCGTGTCCTCTGCAGTGAAGCATGCCACTCTGCACGAAGCATACCTGTCCTGATATTCCTCAGCATGCTTTCTAAATCAGTTACAATCACGATATGTGTGTGTGTGTCGTGTTCTCTAGCCAGCGGAAAGCTGCAGTGACCGCCTCCACCTCCATTCTTAAGCTGGATGTTGTGATATTATATGCTAGGCTCTCCTGCACCAAACGTCGACCATTAACTTTTGCTGAGAAACCCTAAGCACTTCTTTTGCCTCTTGATACTGAACTGTCTGTGTAAATAATCAAATCCTCTGAGCGAGCATTATCTTGAATTAATTGCTGAATTTCCACCTCTGTGGCACCTGCTGGTCAGTCTCTGCATTCCTGGCTCAGTGTGATTATAACCCTACACAAGCCTGACTGTTCAGGTGGCACTTTGACCCACTCCTCTCCTAATGTTCTCAAGGATGCAAACCCGTCTGATTGTGTCTATTGGTTTAACATGGTTTATTAAGGCATAAAACAAAAGATGCACCTCTAAGATTATCAGATTGTCCAGTCATACAACAAAAGATGCAAGTCTAAGATAAACACTCACATAGATTATCAAGGCACCAAGCAGCACAAAAGCCGACCTCCCGCCTGCTGTAGCCCTGCCGTGAGTTGTCGTTGTTCCGTGTGTACCAGGCCTCCAAGAGGGTCAAAGGGTGAACCTCACACTGCTGCAACGCCCGCATAATGCTTACTTTGTTTTCACCTGAAATCCACAGACCATACTAACATTCAGGTAAATATTAGAACAGGTGTAAAAACATCAGAAATTGTGGGGTATTATGAGAGAAGTCTGGGGTTTCCAGCAAATTTGGTGCCTTTAATTGAAAATTTATATCATGAACAACAAGCAGCCATCAGAGCAGCTGGTGAAACATAGGAGTGGTTCGAGGTACAAAAGGGAGTGAGGCAGGGGTGCATTCTTTCACAACACCTATTATTCAATATATATATATATATGCAGAAAATATAATGAGAAATGTAAAAAAATGACCTGATTTGTGAGTTATGAACCGCATCATAATTGGTGAAATACCAATTCCAGAACTTCGCTTTGCGGTGGACATAGTTCTCCTTTCAAACAATGTAAAGTGAATAGAAAATTTTATAATGTCTTTTCAAAAATACAGAGAAGATCAAAACCTTTTCTGGAATTTGAAGAAAAAAAAAACGAAAATAATGTCCACAGACAAAACTGGCTGTCACCCAAAATTAACAATAATTGATGAATAAATTGAAAATGTCACAAACTTTGAATATCTAGGCTCTATAATAAACAGTAATGGCGACTGTTTGACAGTAGTCAAAAGGAGGAAGGCCATAGCAAAGCAAAGGTTAAACAGCATTAGAAGTCTACGGTTTGGACCAAGAAGAGGAAAACCACAGACAGCCTACTTGATCTGATAACTGAGGAAAAAAATCAGAGCTTTTGAAGTGAAATGCTACAGAAGAATTCTTAGAACACCATGGACCAAGAAGAGGAAAACCACTGACACCCTACGTGATCTGATCATTGAGGAAAACCACTGACACCCTACGTGATCTGATCATTGAGGAAAACCACTGACACCCTACGTGATCTGATCATTGAGGAAAACCACTGACACCCTACGTGATCTGATCATTGAGGAAAACCACTGACACCCTACGTGATCTGATCATTGAGGAAAACCACTGACACCCTACGTGATCTGATCACTAAGGAAAACCACTGACACCCTACGTGATCTGATCATTGAGGAAAACCACTGACACCCTACGTGATCTGATAACTGAGGAAAACCACTGACACCCTATGTGATCTGCTAACTGAGGAAAACCACTGACACCCTATGTGATCTGATCATTGAGGAAAACCACTGACACCCTACGTGATCTGATCATTAAGGAAAACCACTGACACCCTACGTGATTTGATAACTGAGGAAAACCACTGACACCCTATGTGATCTGCTAACTGAGGAAAACCACTGACACCCTACGTGATCTGATAACTGAGGAAAACCACTGACATCCTACGTGATCTGATAACTGAGGAAAACCACTGACACCCTATGTGATCTGATAACTGAGTCAAACCACTGACACCCTACGTGATCTGATAACTGAGTCAAACCACTGACACCCTACGTGATCTGATAACTGAGGAAAACCACTGACACCCTACATTATCTGATAACTGAGGAAAACCACTGACACCCTACGTGATCTGATAACTGAGGAAAACCACTGACACCCTACGTGATCTGATAACTGAGGAAAACCACTGACACCCTACGTGATCTGATCATTGAGGAGAACTGGCTGATAAACAGCATCCAGTCCCAAAAGCTGAAGTATTTTGGTCACATCGAACGTCCTGGTGGCCTGGAGAGAACGGAGATGGAGGGTACAGTTTTCTGACAAGGAGGCAGAGGCAGACCCCCCTACGGATGTTGATACAAGACACAGAAGATGCATTGGCTATGAAAGCACATAGGGCTGGAGACCTGGTTAGAGAAAGAGAGACTTTCAGGTGTGCTGTGACCAGAGCAACGTTCTGTAAAGGGACTGGTGATTGCTGACGATGTAAAAGAAACAATTCTGACCATATCAAACACCACAGCTGACTGGAAAGAATAGTGGTGAAGACAAGGTACCAGCTAAGAGAGGCAGGGGCTGAAGAGCATAAAGATGGGTACAGAATATAAATGACACATTTGGTAGGAAACTGCACGAGGCAGCAGAGCTGGAGGGAAGGTGGGGTGTTCCCTCGTAACAAGCTTTGACGCCAGCAACTTTTCGCAAAGGAACTGCTTTCTGGAGATGTATAAGAAACAAGCTGGAATTGTTTTACTGCGAATCAATATTCTCCTGGGGCAGAACGGAGGCTCCTTTTTCTACCCGTCATCCACCCTTCTGGAACGTAGGCCCTCAACCAACTCACCTAAAGGATCCTTATTTTTACGACTCCTGCAATTCATTTTTTTTTTTTGTGAATACACAATAATCTAGTGTGGGTTCCAGGGAACCATTGCAGGGGAACAAAAAGAATAAAGCCACTGCCCTCCCCCTCCCCTAGCAACAAGCATGACGATCACGCCTACTCATTAGGGATGAGTTCTTCAGAGTGCATCTGGCTGAGAGGCAAGGAACTAACAGTCTGGATACAAGTGAGCCAGACTGCAAAACAGATGTGCAGGCAAAATTCAGGTTCTGAACACTAAAAGAACACTTTTTAACACAATATTCTTATCAATGCTCTGCTATCAATGTCAAACATGGACACTGTCTTCAAAAGACAGAAAGAAAATAGTCACGATAGAAATGAAATGTTTACGTTCTATGCTAAGTGTAACGAGAAAATATCGACTTAGTAATGATATCAGGAGGAGAATCAGCACAGAACCAGTACTGAACTTTATAGGGAGACAACAAGTCAAATGGTTTGGCCATGTAACAAGATTGGCAGCAGACAGGGCGCCACAGAGAGCAATGTTATACAGATACAGCGGTAACAGAGCCAGAGGTCAACCACACAGAAAATGGACCACAGAAACATCAGAGACACTGAAAAGTACTTTATTTGAAGTGAAAAGAAGGGCCTGTACTAGAGATATCTTCCTGTCCTGATGCCGCGAGCAATTCCAGGAGTAGAGAAAAGAAGGGCCTGTACTAGAGATATCTTCCTGCCCTGATGCCACGAGCAATTCCAGGAGTAGAGAAAAGAAGGGCCTGTACTAGAGATATCTTCCTGCCCTGATGCCGCGAGCAATTCCAGGAGTAGAGAAAAGTAGAAGAAGAAGAAACAAGGCAAGTCCAGAAGTGAATAAACAACCAGAACTTTCCGCCAGAGTTTACAGACGGTGAACGAGAAGAAGAAGACCAATATTACTGTGATATTTTCTTTCTATATCTTATAGGTAAAGTTGCAAGCGTAAATTTATTGTAAATTTTGCTTCTATCAGTGATAAACTGCAATTCTAGTAGTGCACTGTTTATGTTGGCACTTCTGACGACTGCCTTGTGCATTTGATGCATGTACATGCTACTGGCCTTGCAGACACTGCAGCTTATTTCAATTTCTTCTCAAGGGACAGCAATGGTCATTCTGTGTGGTTTTCACCCAGACTTCAACAGGTCAATTAGAGGTGACGAGGTCGCTGTGTAGCTGGAACAGCGAATAAATTGAGTGTTACAAGAATGTGGAAGACAGAAGACAGGTAACTTACTTGTTTGAGCAAACTTTTCTAACGCAACCAGAGAATGCAGAATCACCACGGGATGGTGTCTTGGTTTCTGAGGGAATAAGTGAAACGGTTAAACCACACAACAACCCTCAGTGCCAACCACACAACAACCCACAGTGCCAACCACACAACAACCCTCAGTGCCAACCACACAACAACCCACAGTGCCAACCACACAACAACCCTCAGTGCCAACCACACAACAACCCACAGTGCCAACCACACAACAACCCACAGTGCTAACCAAACAACAACCCTCAGTGCCAACCACACAACAACCCTCAGTGCCAACCACACAACAACCCTCAGTGCCAACCACACAACAACCCTCAGTGCCAACCACACAACAACCCTCAGTGCCAACCACACAACAACCCTCAGTGCCAACCACACAACAACCCTCAGTGCCAACCACACAACAACCCTCAGTGCCAACCACACAACAACCCTCAGTGCCAACCACACAACAACCCTCAGTGCCAGCCACACAACAACCCTCAGTGCCAACCACACAACAACCCTCAGTGCCAACCACACAACAACCCACAGTGCTAACCACACAACAACCCACAGTGCCAACCATCCACAGTACCAACAACACAATCACTCAAAATACCAACAACACAAACATCCACAGTACCAACCACACTACCATCCACAGTGCCAACCACACACAACACAATCACCCAAAATACCAACCACACAACCATCCACAGTACCAACCACACAACCATCCACAGTATCAACCACACAACCATCCAAAGTGCCAATCACACAACCATCCACAGTACCAACCACAAAACTATCCAAAGTGCCAATCACACAACCGTCCACAGTATCAACCACACAACCATCCACAGTACCAACCACACAACCATCCACAGTACCAACAACACAACCATCCACTATGCCAACCACACAACCATTCAAAGTGCCAACTACACAGCCACACACAGAGCCACCCACAGTGCCAACCTCACAGCCACACACAGAGCCAAAAGGAATTCAAGAAAGAAAAGAATGAAAAGAAGGAATGGAAGAGTCCTGGCTTAATATTTGCCATCATCCTTACTGTTTAATGTAACTACTTTTTTCAATTGCATCCATACAAGTGTATACTGTTATCTATATCTGACCACTCTGGCCAACCATACTTACTAAATGGTCTATGAAGAACTTCAGTACTTCTGGGGTAAATAACGATGTGCTGTTTGGACCTGGAGACAGAGACACAGGGGAAAGATTACACACTTACATGAACACAGGGAAGAGATTACATAGAGACATGAACACAGGGAAGAGATTACACAGGGACATGAACACAGGGAAGAGATTACACAGGGACATGAACACAGGGGAGAGATTACACAGGGACATGAACACAGGGGAAAGATTACACAGGGACATGAACACAGGGGAAAGATTACACAGGGACATGAACACAGGGGAGAGATTACACAGAGACATGAACACAGGGGAGAGATTACATAGAGACATGAACACAGGGAAGAGATTACATAGAGACATGAACACAGGGGAGAGATTACATAGAGACATGAACACAGGGAAGAGATTACATAGAGACATGAACACAGGGAAGAGATTACACAGAGACATGAACACAGGGAAGAGATTACATAGAGGCATGAACACAGGGAAGAGATTACATAGAGACATGAACACAGGGGAGAGATTACATAGAGACATGAACACAGGGAAGAGATTACATAGAGGCATGAACACAGGGAAGAGATTACACAGAGACATGAACACAGGGAAGAGATTACATAGAGACATGAACACAGGGAAGAGATTACATAGAGACATGAACACAGGGGAGAGATTACATAGAGACATGAACACAGGGAAGAGATTACATAGAGGCATGGACACAGGGAAGAGATTACACAGGGACATGGACACAGGGAAGAGATTACACAGGGACATGAACACAGGGGAGAGATTACACAGGGACATGAACACAGGGGAGAGATTACACAGGGACATGAACACAGGGAAGAGATTACACAGGGACATGAACACAGGGGAGAGATTACACAGAGACATGAACACAGGGGAGAGATTACACAGGGACATGAACACAGGGGAGAGATTACACAGGGACATGAACACAGGGGAGAGATTACACAGGGACATGAACACAGGGGAGAGATTACACAGGGACATGAACACAGGGGAGAGATTACACAGGGACATGAACACAGGGGAGAGATTACACAGGGACATGAACACAGGGGAGAGATTACACAGGGACATGGACACAGGGGAGAGATTACAGAGGGACATGAACACAGGGAAGAGATTACACAGGGACATGAACACAGGGAAGAGATTACACAGGGACATGGACACAGGGGAGAGATTACACAGAGACATGGACACAGGGGAGAGATTACAGAGGGACATGAACACAGGGAAGAGATTACACAGGGACATGAACACAGGGGAGAGATTACACAGGGACATGAACACAGGGAAGAGATTACACAGGGACATAAACACAGGGAAGAGATTACACAGGGACATGAACACAGGGGAGAGATTACACAGAGACATGAACACAGGGAAGAGATTACACAGAGACATGAACACAGGGAAGAGATTACACAGGGACATGGACACAGGGAAGAGATTACATAGAGACATGGACACAGGGGAGAGATTACACAGGGACATGAACACAGGGAAGAGATTACATAGAGACATGGACACAGGGAAGAGATTACACAGAGACATGGACACAGGGAAGAGATTACACAGAGACATGGACACAGGGAAGAGATTACACAGAGACATGGACGCAGGGAAGAGATTACATAGAGACATGGACACAGGGAAGAGATTACATAGAGACATGGACACAGGAAAGAGATTACATAGAGACATGGACACAGGGAAGAGATTACATAGAGACATGGACACAGGGAAGAGATTACACAGGGACATGAACACAGGGAAGAGATTACACAGGGACATGAACACAGGGAAGAGATTACACAGGGACATGAACACAGGGAAGAGATTACACAGGGACATGAACACAGGGGAGAAATTACAGAGAGACATGGACACAGGGGAGAGATTACATAGAGACATGAACACAGGGAAGAGATTACACAGGGACATGAACACAGGGAAGAGATTACACAGGGACATGAACACAGGGAAGAGATTACATAGAGACATGAACACAGGGGAGAGATTACACAGGGACATGAACACAGGGAAGAGATTACACAGGGACATAGACACAGGGGAGAGATTACACAGGGACATGGACACAGGGAAGAGATTACACAGGGACATGAACACAGGGGAGAGATTACACAGGGACATGGACACAGGGAAGAGATTATACAGGGACATGAACACAGGGGAAAGATTACAGAGGGACATGAACACAGGGAAGAGATTACACAGGGACATGAACACAGGGGAGAGATTATACAGGGACATGAACACAGGGGAGAGATTACACAGGGACATGAACACAGGGAAGAGATTACACAGGGACATAGACACAGGGGAGAGATTACACAGGGACATGGACACAGGGAAGAGATTACACAGGGACATGAACACAGGGGAGAGATTACACAGGGACATGGACACAGGGAAGAGATTATACAGGGACATGAACACAGGGGAAAGATTACAGAGGGACATGAACACAGGGAAGAGATTACACAGGGACATGAACACAGGGGAGAGATTACACAGGGACATGGACACAGGGAAGAGATTATACAGGGACATGAACACAGGGGAAAGATTACAGAGGGACATGAACACAGGGAAGAGATTACACAGGGACATGAACACAGGGAAGAGATTACACAGGGACATGAACACAGGGAAGAGATTACACAGGGACATGAACACAGGGAAGAGATTACACAGGGACATGGACACAGGGAAGAGATTACACAGAGACATGGACACAGGGAAGAGATTACACAGGGACATGAACACAGGGAAGAGATTACACAGGGACATGAACACAGGGAAGAGATTACACAGAGACATGGACACAGGGAAGAGATTACACAGGGACATGAACACAGGGAAGAGATTACACAGAGACATGAACACAGGGAAGAGATTACACAGGGACATGAACACAGGGAAGAGATTACATAGAGACATGGACACAGGGGAGAGATTACACAGGGACATGAACACAGGGAAGAGATTACATAGAGACATGAACACAGGGAAGAGATTACACAGGGACATGAACACAGGGAAGAGATTACACAGAGACATGGACACAGGGAAGAGATTACACAGAGACATGAACACAGGGAAGAGATTACACAGAGACATGGACACAGGGAAGAGATTACACAGGGACATGAACACAGGGAAGAGATTACACAGGGACATGAACACAGGGAAGAGATTACACAGGGACATGAACACAGGGGAGAGATTACACAGGGACATGAACACAGGGAAGAGATTACACAGGGACATGGACACAGGGAAGAGATTACACAGAGACATGGACACAGGGAAGAGATTACATAGAGACATGGACACAGGGGAGAGATTACACAGGGACATGAACACAGGGAAGAGATTACATAGAGACATGGACACAGGGAAGAGATTACACAGGGACATGGACACAGGGAAGAGATTATGGGGACATGAACACAAATCATGAAGACATTAATACAGGGAAGAACAATGGAAGCATAGATACAGGTGGGAAATTATGGAGGCATAGAAACAGGGAAGAAATTATGGAAATACGGACACATGGACATACGGAAAACATTATGGAGACACATACACAATGGAAAAAATCAAGACATAGACACATGTAAGACAGTATGGAGAGACAAACACAGGGAAAAAATTATGGAGTTATAGATGCAGGGAAGAACTTATGGAGGCACAGAAACAGGGAAGAAATTATGGAGGCATAGAAACAGGGAAGAAATTATGGAGGCATAGACACAGGAAAGAAATTATGGAGGCATAGAAACAGGGAAGAGATAATGGAGGTATAGAAACAGGGAAGAGATTATGGAGGCATAGAAACAGGGAAGAAATTATGGAGGCATAGAAACAGGAAAGAAATTATGGAGGCATAGACGCAGGAAAGAAATTATGAAGACATGGACATAGGAAAGAAATTATGAAGACATAGACGCACGGAAGAACTATGGAGGCACAGACAAAGGGAAGAATGAAGACAGGATCCATTATCTATCTGACAGCCAAAAACCAACCACACAGCTAAAGCAACAAGACACTGAGTGACTATATGGAAACCACACAAAAATGCAAGCCCAGGACATGACCTGTCAAGAAGCCGGCGAGCTCCCACACACAAACATAACACACAGAGACACACACAAACAGACAGACACACACACACCTGCTAATTTTTCAGCTAGGCAACCTAGGAGTATACAAATGTTGCGCTGCTGGCAGGGCTTGGTGTAGGTCTGGGCTAGCTCCGAGTCGACCAGGTTCAGGTGATTCTTCAAATCTAACAGTGCATCCTGGGGAAGGAGACTTGGCAGTTACAGTCTGTGGCAACTACAGCTTTAGACGAGGGATCAACATCATAGCACAAGGGTAGTAACCCATAAGTGCTCCGTTCTACTTCTGACTCAAGCCTGAGTCCGAAGAATCTCAGCGCAGTGCATGAACTCGGTAGCACCGGTGAGGATCCTGAACTACAACAAAAGCATACAACCACGCTGTTGCCTTCTTGTTCACTGGTTGCAAACTGCAACAGAAAGTCCCACTTTTGGTCCTCTACCTGTTGGTTCCAGCGTGCCGTTGTAGGGGAAAAAGAACATCTCCATGGCCCCGAACAAGCATGTGGTTTTAAAGTAAACTAATGAAAGGTGTTTCCTTCCGAAGTTGTAGTGCATCTGCCGGACAGGTGAGGAACCAGCAGTCTGCATACAAATAAGACAGATCAGTAAAACGTATATGCATGAAAAACTCACATTTTGGGGAAAAGATTAAAGTAGAGAAGTGGACAAACAATCAGAATTTTTTACTGACAGCGAACACTAAGATGAAGAAGGTCATCCAATTCCAGATTTTGGTCTCATTCCAGGACCTGAATTTTGCACGGATCTCTGTTTCACGGATTTTTTGGTATGCAGACTGTTGGTTCCTTGACTGTCGGGCAGATGCACTCTGATTTCAAAAGAAATGTTGACCCTATACAGTTGGCTGGGAGCCGCGGTGGTGTTGTGGCTAGACGCTCATCTGCAGATCGGAAGGTATGTATTCGCATCTGAGGATGCCAGATTTGTGTTTGTTTAAATGACCTTGGCTCACAGGTTGATCCACCCTTAAATAGGCACCAGGTAAAGGCCTGAGAAGTAAAGGCGGCCGGCATTATGCTGACCACATCACCCAGTTAGTTCCAACAGGTCTATAAAATATAAGTCTAGCGCTGACTGAATGCCCAATATGCCTGGTGGCATGGAAAAGGGTCCTTTGCTTGACTGATCCAGCTGGCCAAGCTCCAGGTCGAGAACCTGTTTCTAGGATGTCTGCAGAGAGATGAAGACAGGCCTTGACCTGCCCGACCCCGGGTCATGGTCCATCACCATTGTCTTCTTTTTTCCTTTGTGTTTACCGGCTGTAAACTTGCGGAACGTTCTGGCTGTTCGTCCACCTTTTTTTACACTGGCTATTGTTATGCTGTGCAGGTGTAACCCACAACATAATAGGACAACGGAACCCACACACCCATTCAAAGTGTCTATTAAACCAGCACCCACCTTGGTAGGAAGTGGGCACTCGTCCAGGAGAAGGGCAACAACGGCTGGTCCTAGCGGGTCCTCCATGGGGATCACACTGATGAGCGACTTGACCACATTCAACCAGCCCTGGTCGCAGTCGGCTATTTTGTGAAGGACAAGCATGGCCAGGGGCGGCTCCTGCGCACTAGAGAGAACAGAGTTTACGTGTTACATTCTTCCATGCCTGCTTTTATTAGGTATTATTTTTATAAAAGCATTTACATTTAAAGTCGGTGTCTGTGGCTTAGGCGTTGCAAACGCGCTGAGTAATGCCAGGTTTGATCCCAGCTGCAAGCAATTTGGCAGCAGATCACTTTGCGTTGGTGACGACAGATGTGTTGAGAGCCAATCGTTTAGAAAGCAATGGCAAACTACAGAAAAATCACAACAGCCAAAAATTGCTCTGGTTGGTTCTGCAACATCCTGTAAAGGACAGGCAACTAACTTTTACAGATTTGTTTAGATCTTTTTTTTGTTGTTATATATTTTTGACATCAGAACATTTGGGAGGAAGGTGAGGGGAAGACCAAGAAAGAGAAGTATAAATGGTGTCGTTGAAACCTGCAAACAGATGAACAAATCCATCACCCAAGCCAGAAAAGCACAAGACAAGTATACAGAAAACCATGATACAGGGCTACAACCTGGTATCATTGAGGCGACAAAACCACGACACTGGGCTACAACCTGGTATCATTGAGGCGACAAAACCACGACACTGGGCTACAACCTGGTATCATTGAGGCGACAAAACCACGACACTGGGCTACAACCTGGTATCAGTGAGATGACAAAAACCACGACACTGGGCTACAACCTGGTATCATTGAATCACAGATATACTCACTTATCTACAAGGGTATGAATCACAGATATACTCACTTATCTACAAGGGTACGAATCACAGATATACTCACTTATCTCCAAGGGTACGAATCACAGATATACTCACTTATCTACAAGGGTACGAATCACAGATATACTCACTTATCTACAAGGGTACGAATCACAGATATACTCACTTATCTACAAGAGTACGAATCACAGATAGAGTCTCCAGTACAAGACGGTCGACATCCTCCTTGTCTGCAGTTCTGCTCCGTCTGCCAGACCCCGGATGATGTCTCTGCAAAGAAGAGGAATAAATGTATACTTGATTTAATAACGGTCTTGAAACGATATATCAGCAGTTTAATGTTCGGTTTGGAAACGATATATCAGCAGTTTAATGTTCGGTTTGGAAACGATATATAATCAGTTTAATGTTCGGTTTGGAAACGATATATCAGCAGTTTAATGTTCGGTTTGGAAACGATATATAATCAGTTTAATGTTCGGTTTGGAAACGATATATCAGCAGTTTAATGTTCGGTTTGGAAACGATATATAATCAGTTTAATGTTCGGTTTGGAAACGATATATCAGCAGTTTAATGTTCGGTTTGGAAATGATATATAATCAGTTTAATGTTCGGTTTGGAAATGATATATCAGCAGTTTAATGTTCGGTTTGGAAACGATATATAATCAGTTTAATGTTCGGTTTGGAAACGATATATCAGCAGTTTAATGTTCGGTTTGGAAACGATATATAATCAGTTTAATGTTCGGTTTGGAAACGATATATAATCAGTTTAATGTTCGGTTTGGAAACGATATATCAGCAGTTTAATGTTACACTGGAGAAGCAGCTGGCCAAATAGTTAAAATATTGGACTCTTAATTTGAGAAACCTGGTTCAAATCCTCAGTAAGTTAACCCTGTCGCCGAGAAGCTGCAAACCCAATGCTTTCGGTTAAGGCTGATTCCTCATAATGACAAAGGCAGACAGACTGGCTAGATCTGCAACACTGGGTGGTGAATTGACACATGACAAAGCAGATTTGGTCACAGCCCTTTGGGAACAAGTAACGAAGTCAGGAGGGAAACTAGATTTTTTGGGGGGCTGGAGAGAATGATGCACCTGGGTGTGACCAGAGGGTTCGGCTGGCACCCTACACTCAGAGGAAAGGCCAAACGGACAAACAACCAGACTATGACAGGCACCATTAGTATTGGAACTCTGTGATGGTTGCTGAGGATGGGGACAGAGCGCATATGGGAATGCCCCGAGTGCTGCGATGTCAATTCTTGACTCAACTCAACCCCATAATGACTAGTGATCTGTGTAAAACTACTTTTAGAGGTGTTTTTGTTTAAGACTTCCCAGGGGTCAAGGCCAATATTTTTCTTTAATGTTACCAGGCAACAGCATTCTTCGTCTTCTTTTTCGCATTCACCAGCTGTAAACTCTGGCGGAAAGTTCTGGTCGCTCGTCCACTACTGAACTGCAGTCCTGCTCCAGAACCTGAGTGTTGCGTGTGCATCAGTTTTACAGATCTTATTCTCTTGAATACAGACTGTTGGTTCCTTGCCTCTTCTGCAGATGCACTCCGACCTCAAAGGAAGCTCCCCAATTAGTCGACTCTTACGACATGCTTTTGAGGAGGTCTTGTTTTCCCCACAATGGGGCCCCGGAACCCACACGGGGGGCAACAGCATTAATTCTTTGTGTCCTAAACAACGCACACTGTGTCACCAGCTATTTTCAGTAGGTATCAAACAGAAAACTGCTGTATTTTTTTTCATACATGTGGTCTGAGAACGTTAGAGAAATTTAGCTAAATACATTAACATGCAGTACAGCATTTTTTTTTTACCGGGAAGGGGGGGGGGATCTTTTTGGAAAAAATAATTCATACTTGTTTCACTGCGGCTAGTATGTTCTATGGTATTTAAAGCAAAATCTTTGTGGGATTGAAAGAGTTCAGGAAACCGTTTCTGTCAGCAGCAAAAATTTTTTTAAAAATGATGGCCGCCACACTTCCTAGCAAATGCTCTTGATGTGCAGCCATAAATCATGAATATGACGGAATGTGTTGCTTTACGCACTGACAAATGTTACTGAAACTTCCATCTGCAGATATGTCAGATATCACCATGTCATGATTTAGCCCATTATCAATCGACCTGCTGAGATTTGAATCAGTACTAACCTTTTCACTCCGGGGATCGAGAAAAAATAACCACTGGCAAAAATTAATACTTTGGGCATTTTGGTTTCACTAAAAAAATATTCCTTGAAAATAAAAGGTTTAGGCTTAGTTTAAACAACAGATCAACATCCTGGCACATAGGTATTAACCCATAAGTGCTCCGTTCTACTTCTAACTCAAGCCTGAGTCCCAAGAATCTCAGCGCTGAACATAAACTCTGCAGAACCGGTGAGGATATTTAAATACTTTAGGTAGATTTTTAATTTTAAATTTTGCCCGGGGAGCGCTGTTAGGCTACTCTTTTCGATTTCAAACTGCCAAGGGATTTTTTTCAATGTCCGCAATAATACACACGGGCGTCTGATTTTACTAGCCTAGGACCAGGGGATATTATTGGAAGTCCACGTTAAAAAATCCTAGCTTTCACTGGGGCCTGAACCTGGGACCTCCAGCATTCAAGGCGGACGCCATGCCCTGAGACCACTCAGCCACTGCCCGCTGAAAGCACAAGTGATCAATAAACACTGAAAGGGTACAGAACTGACTGGGTTACATCTCTCTTGAGTTTAAACAACATGTTTAGCATGACCCATTCTTGAGCCTATGACCCGGCCGCCAGTTACCACTTAACTAACGGGAAATTCTGATGACTTAATTTCTATAAATAAAGCCATTGTCCGCAAAGACACCCAACCTTAATGCTACTATTAGCAACTATGCTCTTTACTGGTCAATCTAAAAAGCTGTCCCCCCTCCCAAAAAAACCACGGGAGCAATGCTGTTAGCAGGGCACCTCGTCAACAAGCCTCTATATTGGAGAGGGACATTTGCGGCGCTGTGGCACAAACAGGAAATGTCAGGATTTGTACTTCTGGGGCTGAGGGTTAACCCACCGACCATCATGATTGCACGTTATGCAATCAGCTGATTGGTACGCCTGGCTACTTTAATCACACCCACTGCCCTCATTACTCTGGACACTCAAAATCAGTCAAAAACTGCGCAGCATGCGATCAGTGTAGTTTAAAATTGTCATCCCATTCATTTATGCATCTTTAAGGGAGACAATTCTGTAGTCCAGAAAGTAAAGTCTTCAAAAAGATATTTTCTTGAGCTTCCATGTCGGTGATGTATTAGGTGGATGTTTTGATTATTATATTCCATGGGCAGAAATTCCCATCTGGCAAAAAACAAAATTACTTTTTTGTGTAAAGTCATTATTATACCTTAGGCAGCGGCACAACGATGGGTAAAGGTATGAGTTTGTTGTTTTATGCCTAAGGGACTGGTATAACATTTCTTCTTCTTCTTCTTTGCGTTCACCAGCTGTAAACTCCAACAAAAGTTGTGGTTGTTTGTCCACTTCTGGACTTTGGTCTCGTTCCACAACTTGAGTTTGTGTGATCATCCATTTTACTGTCACTACTGTCTTTATTTGCCACTTTTTAGGGCGGTGTAGACAGGAGGGGAGGGGGATGTTTTTAGGGCGGTGTAGACAGGAGGGGAGGGGATGTTTTTAGGGCGGTGTAGACAGGAGGGGAGGGGGATGTTTTTAGGGCGGTGTAGACAGGAGGGGAGGGGGATGTTTTTATGGCGGTGTAAACAGGAGGGGAGGGGATGTTTTTAGGGCGGTGTAGACAGGAGGGGAGGGGGATGTTTTTAGGGCAGTGTAGACAGGAGGGGATGTTTTTAGGGCGGTGTAGACAGGAGGGGATGTTTTTAGGGCAGTGTAGACAGGAGGGGATGTTTTTAGGGCGGTGTAGACAGGAGGGGAGGGGGATGTTTTTAGGGCGGTGTAAACAGGAGGGGAGAGGAACGTTTTTAGGGCGGTGTAGACAGGAGGGGAGGGGATGTTTTTAGGGCGGTGTAGACAGGAGGGGAGGGGGATGTTTTTAGGGCAGTGTAGACAGGAGGGGATGTTTTTAGGGCGGTGTAGACAGGAGGGGAGGGGGATGTTTTTAGGGCGGTGTAGACAGGAGGAGAGGGGGATGTTTTAGGGCGGTGTAGATAGGAGGGGAGGGGGATGTTTAGGGTGGTGTAGACAGGGGGAGGGGGATGTTTTTAGGGCGGTGTAGACAGGAGGGGAGGAGGATGTTTTTAGGGTGGTGTAGACAGGAGGGGAGGGGGTGTTTTAGGGTGGTGTAGACAGGGGGAGGGGGATGTTTTAGGGTGGTGTAGACAGGAGGGGAGAGGGATGTTTTTAGGGTGGTGAAGACAGGAAGGGAGGGGGATGTTTTTAGGGCGGTGTAGACAGGAGGGGAGGGGGATGTCTTTAGGGTGGTGTAGACAGGAGGGGAGGGAGATGTTTTAAGGCCGGTGTAGACAGGAGAGGAGGGGGATGTTTTTAGGGTGGTGTAGACAGGAGGGGAGGGGGATGTTTTAGGGTGGTGTAGACAGGAGGGGAGGGGGATGTTTTAGGGCGGTGTAGACAGGAGGGGAGGGGGATGTTTTTAGGGCGGTGTAGACGGGAGGGGAGGGGGATGTTCAATTTTGCCCTCAACAGAAAAAACTCCAACATTTTAACGGGAGTCGAACCTGGGTCAATGCACTAGTCCAGATTTAAAATTTAGGTTAACCGTATGGCGACTCCTAGTTGCTGCACGAGCTGGGTGAACGTCCAGTATGGGTCACTTCTGTCCCCCATGTTCATAGCTGTGATTGAGCTATATTATAATTATGCATATACTATATAGGAGGATGGGGTTTTCTCATCTAAACACAAATTGGCAAGAGGACGAAAATGGCTGTTTACCGCTCTACCTATGTGCCAGTCCTGACCTATGGGTGTGTATGATGGATAATGAGAACAGCTCACTGAAGCCAGCTACAGGCCTCAGAAATTAGATATCTGAGAAAGGTGGTCCAAGTGACAAAAAGGGACAAAGTCTGCAATCAGACAATACTGCAGAACCTTGAAACCCAGGCCTTACAAACCCTAACAGATCAGTAACGGTTACGATGGTTTGGACCTGTGTGCAGAACAGGAGAAAATCGGCCACCATGGCAGGCATGGGAGGCTAAGAACCTGGGAGCCCGACCTCCAGGGCGACCCAAGGTTCAATGGGAAGACAACACCCGACAGTCCCTAACTGACAGAGGACTGGAATGGAACAAAGCCAGAAAGAAAATTGCAGATAGAAAAGTCTAGCAATCACTTTGGTAAACCTCTACACCCTAAGGTAGAAGAGGAGCAACTAACTAAGTAAGTAAGTAAAAATATAGAAGATATAAGAATTTTAGAAAGACTTAGGTGGGGCATGGCACACAAAAAGGTTGGAAACACCGTTCTAGGATGAAAGAGTTAATGATTTAAAAGTTTAAGAACAAACACACACACACACGAACCTGGTGATGATGTGAACGGTGGTTGTGATGGCTGTGGTGGTGATGGCGATGCCGCCGCTCCGACTGATCTGAGCTGGATGTGGTGGAGCTGCTGTGGTGGTTGTGGTCCCGATGGTAATGGCCGCTGACATGAGAGCTGCTGTCGCTCTCTTCCGCTTGGGTTATAGGGGGATCCTGGTTCTTGTCTTTACAGACGCAAGCTCCCATGGCAACAGTGAATGTCCGTGTTCAGCTGTGAGGCTCCCGCACTTAGGTAGTCAGCTTCCTGACTGCACACGTTGCAACCACTCAGTCACTGAGTAGCTGCATGTGGCACCTCATAAAATAAAACAGTGGCCTCGGACTTTTAGAATATCAAGTAACCGTCTCATGATTTTCTTCCATTTCCTGCTGAAAATATAAAAAAAAAAATTGTAATCAAGTTATTCATCTTCTTCTTCGCAAACACTGGCTGGAGACATGGGCGAAAAATTCTGGTTGTTTGTCCACCTCTGGACTCTAGTCTTATTCCAGAACCTTAGTGTTACATGCACATCCGTTCTACAGATCCAACTTATTTCTATGCAAACTGTGGTCTCCTTGCCTCTCAAGCAGATGTACTCCGACTTCGAAGGAAGCCCCCAATTAGTCAACTCTTACAATATGTTTGTTGGGGAGACAGTGAGTTTGTTCTTATTTTCCCTACAAGGGACCCCAGAACACACACAATGAAATGTAAACATCATTCCAGCGTCATCGTGCGACTTTAAACAGAACAAACAGCGATACTAGCCTACCTTAACGATCCTGTCATGTCCGCTCTGTCCTAACTGAGAGTAACAGAAAGTCAGAGCTTTAGGTTCAAATGTATGTGTTATCAGGAAAGACATGATTTGTTTCCTGGCTAGAAATAACAAGACAGGGATAGGGGTCAGAAAGACTTTCTGGGGTGATGGGAGAAAATGTAGGAAGTTGTTCACATAGGCACTGGAGCATGGGTGCTCAGGCTCCTTGAATTCCACCCCCATGCACAATTGTTAACTAGAATCTGTGTACAGGGGTCAGCTTGGTGGGGTTGAGTACAGGGGTCAGCTTGGTGGGGTTGAGTACAGGGATCAGCTTGGTGGGGTTGAGTACAGGGATCAGCTTAGTGGGGTTGAGTACAGGGGTCAGCTTGGTGGGGTTGAGGCTCCCGGCCCTCAACGCAACAGGTCAATGTTGTGATGGTGCACCTGACCTCCTCTTATGTCAATATAGCCGTTATAAATCACACAGGGCCGGCAGTTTATTCTTCCATTCTATTCTATCCTGTGTTATTGTTGCAATATTACGTAAGGGGCAGCAGAAGAAAAGTTCAAAGAAACTTGGCTCATAAACAGTTCTTCTTCTTCTTCTTCTTCACGTTCACCGGCTGTGAGCTCAGTCGGAAAGTTCTGATTGTTCGTCCACATCTGGACTCTAGTCCTGTTCCAGAACCTGAGTGTTGCGTGTACATCCATTTCACAGGCCTGCAGACCTGCATGCAGACTGTTGGTTCCTTGCCTCTCAGGCATATGTACTCCGATTTTGAAGAAAGCTCCCAATTAGTCGACTCTTACGACATACTTTTGGGCAGGCAGTGGGGCTTTTCTTGTTTTCCCAAAAACTGGGCCCCACAACCTACACGGGGAAGGATGATTCAGGTCCAGTTACCACTCACTAGTTAGCTACTAGTCCCAGTAAAAGCTAAACAGTTACTTATTATCAGTATTGATTTTCTAGTATATCAGCCTGACTAAAAGGTGCTCCACTTTACAATAAAACAGGGTCTTCAGTGTCTCCACTTACACTGTACCCAGTAGCAGTTGACTGGTGTATTTTCTTTCTTTGCCCACTCCCAACTGGTTTCTAAACGTCTGTCCTCGTTCAATACCCAGTTCCAACTGCTAGTTCATTGTCTCTGGAATGCAGCACATTCAGTATGTCTGCCTTGTCCACTGTCTCTGGAATGTCAGTATGTCTGCCTTGTCCACTGTCTCTGGAATGCAACACATTCAGTATGTCTGCCTTGTCCACTGTCTCTAGAATGCAGCACATTCAGTATGTCTGCCTTGTCCACTGTCTCTAGAATGCAGCACATTCAGTATGTCTGCCTTGCCCATTGTTTTTGGAATGTCAGTATGTCTGCCTTGTCCACAGTCTCTGGAATGCAGCACATTCAGTATGTCTGTCTTGTCCACTGTCTCTAGAATGCAGCACATTCAGTATGTCTGCCTTGTCCACTGTCTCTAGAATGCAGCACATTCAGTATGTCTGCCTTGTCCACAGTCTCTGGAATGTCAGTATGTCTGCCTTGTCCACTGTCTCTGGAATGTTAGTATGTCTGCCTTGTCCACTGTCTCTGGAATGCAGCACATTCAGTATGTCTGCCTTGTCCACAGTCTCTGGAATGCAGCACATTCAGTATGTCTGCCTTGTCCACTGTCTCTGGAATGCAGCACATTCAGTATGTCTGTCTTGTCTACTGTCTCTGGAATGCAGCACATTCAGTATGTCTGCCTTGCCCATTGTTTTTGGAATGTCAGTATGTCTGCCTTGTCCACAGTCTCTGGAATGCAGCACATTCAGTATGTCTGTCTTGTCCACTGTCTCTAGAATGCAGTACATTCAGTATGTCTGCCTTGTCCACAGTCTCTGGAATGTCAGTATGTCTGCCTTGTCCACTGTCTCTGGAATGTTAGTATGTCTGCCTTGTCCACTGTCTCTGGAATGCAGCACATTCAGTATGTCTGCCTTGTCCACAGTCTCTGGAATGCAGCACATTCAGTATGTCTGCCTTGTCCACTACCTCTGGAATGCAGCACATTCAGTATGTCTGTCTTGTCCACTGTCTCTGGAATGCAGCACATTCAGTATGTCTGCCTTGTCCATTGTCTCAAGAATGCAGCACATTTAGTATGTCTGCCTTGTCTATTGTCTCTAGAATGTCAGTACGTCTGCCTTGTCGATTGTCTCTAGAATGTCAGTACGTCTGCCTTGTCCACTGTCTCTAGAATGCAGCACATTAATTATGTCTGTCTTGTCCATTGTCTCTGGAATGCAGCACATTTAGTATGTCTGCCTTGTCTATTGTCTCTAGAATATCAGTATGTCTGTCTTGTCAACTGTCTGTGGAATGCAGCACATTCAGTATGTCTGCCTTGTCCATTGTCTCTAGAATGTCAGTATGTCTGCCTTGTCCATTGTCTCTAGAATGTCAGTATGTCTGTCTTGTCCACTGTCTCTAGAATGCAGCACATTCAGTATGTCTGCCTTGTCCACTGTCTCTGGAATGTCAGTATGTCTGCCTTGTCCATTGTCTCTGGAATGTCAGCATGTCTGCCTTGTCCACTGTCTCTGGAATGTCAGTATGGCTGCCTTGTCTACTGTCTCTGGAATGTCAGTATGTCTGCCTTGTCCACTGTCTCTGGAATGTCAGTATGTCTGCCTTGTCCACTGTCTCTGGAATGTCAGTATGTCTGCCTTGTCCACTGTCTCTGGAATGTCAGTATGTCTGCCTTGTCCACTGTCTCTGGAATGTCAGTATGTCTGCCTTGTCCACTATCTCTGGAATGTCAGTATGTCTGCCTTGTCCACTGTCTCTGGAATGCAGCACATTCAGTATGTCTGCCTTGTTCATCCTTCTTCCTTCACTAACTAGATAATCTGTCAGCTCTAGGCAGAGTTTGATCTGGCTACATTCCAACAGGCACCAGGCCTGCAAACTTCACTGGTACCCCAGCTTGGGGAGAGTGCGTGCCACAGCCTCCGTGGAGAGGTACTCTGGTATCAGTTGGAAGAAAAGTCACTACAGAAACCAGAGTTACAAGGAAAACTAAAACAGCCCTGAAGCAGTCTTTTAGGGGGAGTGGAGAAGGCAGAACGGAGACTACAAACCAAAGAGTGACAACATTAACAAACTCAACAGGAAAGAACAGACATCAATTTTTAGGCTTTTTTAGGATACTGTGGTATTAGAGCACACCTGCACACAATATGCATAAAATAAACATCGGCACTTAATACCGGTCCCAAATTATTCACTGTTAAAAAAATCACATTCAGAGCCTCAAGAGGTCATATAGTTAAAAATATGGAAAGGGAACGCTACAAACTATGCTTCGCATTATATTTTTAGCCCTCAAAAGGGCGGTTGACACATTGTGTTGTGGTTTACAGCTAGGTTGCTATTCTTCTCCAGGGAACTTTATTGGATCGAAACTATTCCTCCCCACGGCGCTTAGCTTAATGTCTAAACATTGCTATCCATCAGGCAATAACGGCAGAATTGGAAACTGATGATGATGGCCTAAATGATCATGAGTACGTATTCTTCCAATATATTTTAGTTGTTACTGTTCCAAATGTTTTACTACATAAACTCTTGAGGCTCTCAAAGGGCTGTTTCTCGCAGTTAATAATTTGGGACCGGTATTCGGAAGAGTGCCATAAACTGCTGCCTATGATTGTGGAGCAGAAAGACTACTGGGCACATACTGCAAGACTGCCCTAATTTCTCCCAGCAAGATTGTGGATCTGGTCAAGAGAGTCTGGGGGGGGGGGGGGCTGGCGGCGACCTTAGACGCAGTATCCTATTTGTGACCCAAACGGGAATGAATATTTAGCACGGCTGATGTTAAACGCAGAAGAAGAAGAAAAAGAACTACAGAAACGTTGTTTGCAAGGTTCAGTACGTGAGCACCATGCCCAATATACTAGGGCATGCCAACTAACTAACATTTCCTCTTCCAAATGATTCATTGACCAACCTCTAGTACATATTCTTATCTTGTATTGATGTCACTTTACAGAGATTACATTGTAAATTACTTTGGTTAAACCGAAGTCTTGGCTTTCTTCTTCTCCTTCTATCCTGCGATATGATTGTTTCTCAAATCACTCCATTCGAATTATCTTGTTGAAAAATGGAAGGAAAGAACAACGTCAGTTGTAGGACTAAATCCCCGTCGTCCACTTTTCTATACAGAAACATACACGGTTAATCTATTATCAAAACATCTTTGATTTTGTAGGACCAACATGAAATGTCCACAAGTCCAGTAATGAGCACAGCACACAAACATGTTTTACATCGGACCCTGCCTGCCCACCTCACAAATCTTACCTCTTCAATCGTACCCCGATTTCATTCAACAATGCCGCTAAGAAATTAAAGAACCCGTCTAGTTAAAACAGTTATACATGTCTCC